TCTTCTGAAGCGAACCGTCATACTCTGATTCTTGTGACCGATGTTTCTGTGGAACCCCCCAAACATTAAGCAACCCTTCAAATACCGACGCTTTTTTCATTCGTAATTTAATGTCTTTAGTATGCTTTTTTTTTTCAGAAAACAAAAAAGCGATATATTTGATTCAGTACTGACTGATTTTGTGTTTTTTTGATCTGTAAGCGCTGTTTTCTAACTAGGATTTAGTTCAAAATCGCTGTTATCAATAGCCGTTACTTTATGATTTCGCTGGTTCGAGATGGCATTTGCTTACATCAGATACTCACATTCGCTCCTTTCACTGAGTAAAAATCTTCGTTGCTCTCAGTGGATAAAAATATTCGCTACCCTCACTGAGTAAAAGTTTAAGAGTTTTGTGTTCCATAATATGACCTGTTTCGAGTGCCAGAAAGGAATAATTGGTCAACGCACGGACTGCCCGTGCGAAGATGCGTTTTTTGCAGAGTTCCCCGCAGTTTTTGTCGCTACCTGCATCGGTTTTTTTGGCAGATGCTTCTACCTGAAAGAATTCCAGAGTGTCCGACAGAACTGTCAGGAAACATCCTCTCAAAATTCCAGTCTTCTAGCTTCTCACGTTCTTGAGTAAGTAACTTATCCGGAAGGAACTTTTCACGGGCCTGTACGTGGGTACCACGCTTACCCGCGGGCAGGGTTTGAACTCGTTAATACCCACCTAGACAGGGAGCACCTCCTAAAATTTCAACTCTCTAGCATCTCAGGACCCTGAGTTATGAATTTGCGCGGGAAAAGCTTTGGGGGACTCGTACGCGGGTACCACGCTTACTCGGAGGCTTGATTTGAGCTCATTAGTGCCTACTTGGACGGGGAGCACTCCCATAAAATTTCAGCTCTTCAGATTTTCTGGTTCGCGAGTTAGCAGCTTATCCGTAAAAAACTTTGGTGGGGTCTCACGTGGGTACCACGCGGGAAAGACCGCCCATTTTGGGGATAGGAGCCCGTACGTGCATGTAGATCAAGTCT